AGGGGGGAGGGGGGGGAGGGAGGAGCGGGTGGGAGTGGGGGTAGGGAGGGAGGGGGTAGGGAAGGGAGAGTTGGGGGGAAAAATTAATTGCAAGGCGTTGTCATGTGATTTGGATGTCGAGTACTACTACTGCTGCTGCTCTCTGGGCGCATTTGCTGTTGTTGTTGGTGGTGGTGGTAGTGGTTACTGCTGCTGCTGCTACTGGTCGCTCATTGCTTTTGTGTTTGAGGATCTGTATTTCCAACCCGCAGATTACCCTGGATAACCTCAAATACGACGTTGAGGACGTGAAGCGCTGGCAGGTACGGCAGTACGACATCCGCTTACCTATGTAATGGAACTTTTGGGTTTTTTTTGGGGGGGGGAAAATGGAAGAGTGGGGTGTTTTTATTATTAGTCATCATGTCTGTCACCTTTCCCTAGGAACCCCCTCCCCCATCCCCATGCGATCCGCACTCTCTCCCCCCCCCGACATAACCCCTCTTCCCCCCCATACACATACATACATGCACCAGGCCGGCACGATGGCCTGCCCCGTGCCGCCGGAGCTGCAGCAGTACAAACTGTGGTCCCTATGCGGAGGGGTACCGGAGGGTCTGAACCCCCGTAGCCTCAGGTAGGCAGTGAGGGGAGAGAGAGAGGGGGGGGGAAAGTGTTTTTTATAATTGTCGTTGCTTTTGGGAGGACCATAGCAGCTTGAAAGTTGATGACGTGTCGGTATTTGTTTTTTAGGTTCCTCTTTCACCGCCACCACCACCATCATCATGATTGACCTAAACCGAGTTTGCATCTCGTGTGTGTGTTTCCCCACCCACCCCTTTCCCACCCACCCCTTTCCCCCCTCTCCCCCCTTTCCCCCCTCCCCCTCCCCCTCAGGTCCGAGATTGGCCACAACACCAACATTTGGTGCAGCAAGGGCCAAGGCCTCAAGTTCCTGACGCTTCAGGACGTGGTGGGGATACTGCACCCCAACGACCCGACCACCAAGTACTTCCGTGAGTGGGGGGAGGTGGGGAGGAGGGGGAAAAGGGGGCGTGTGTGTGTGTGTCTATGCGATGCTTGTTTTTTTATGTGTTTGGTGTCGGTAGCGGTCGGGGTGGTGGTGGGGTGTTTGTGTGGCGAGGTGTAGGAAGGCGGCCCGAGGAGTGATGTGCGGTGATAGTGCAGGTGCGGTCAGCAGTCGGTGTCACACAGCGAAGGGGGGTTAGGTTTGGGGCCCCTTTGGGGCATAGGGCCCTGTTGATGATACGGAGTTGGAGCGGGGAGGAGGGAGGAAGGAGGGTGAGGCGCTGGCCCCCCGGAGGGGAGGAGGGACTTAGGGAAATGGGTGGGACGGAAGGGGAGGGGCAATGAGGGGGGGAGGTGGTGGGGTGTATGGTACTGCTCTAGATTTGAGTTTTGGCTTATCCTCTGTCTTGTGCGTTGTGTCTCCTCTCTCTCTCTCTCTCTTTCTCTCTGTCGTCCCCCTTCTAACGAGTACCTGCTGTGTGTTTACCCCCGGCCTCTTCCCCCTCGACGTGCGGTGCCCTGCCGCCCGGTAGAAACCAACCCTATGAACTTTGGAATGGGCAGTCGGCCCTGCCACTACCTGGAGCCCGACGTGCAGGTGAGCGAGCGGGGTGGGGTGGGGGTGGGGGTGGGGGAATAGGCAAGGGACCTGGGAAAAGGGGTTTGGTGGGACGAGGGCCGGGGCGGGGCCGCCGGGGAAGGGCAGAGAGAGGGGAGGCGGGAGGCGGGGAGGTGTGTATGTGTGTGTACGCGTGTGTGGATAGGAGGAAGAAAAGCGCCTGCGTGGGTAGAAATGCAGCCGTCGCTGTATTGGCGATATGGACTGCTACTGGTGGGAGCGGTGTTGGGGGTGATGACCGGGTAGAGTCGACTGATGCCACTACTACTACTACTACTACTACTACTACTACTACTACTACTACTACTACTACTACTACCACTACTACTACTACTGCTACCACTACCACTACTACCACTACAGGCTACACAAGGACCTTTTTGTCCCCATGAAGGACTAGGCGCGGAGGGGACCTGTTGTGTAGTCGTAGCTAACAGACAAGTCAAGGGGGGTTCGTGCAGCAGCAGTGCGGGTGATGCTGCTGACGACAACCCCCTATGTTGACTATTGACCTACGAACAAGGAAATGAAAGGATGTCGGCGGAGTAGCAGCAGTAGTGGCAGTAGTGGCAGCGCAGTAGCAGGAGTTGGTAGGGGTGTTATTCGGAGATGTGCGAGGGCGGTTGCATAGGCCACAGGGGCACATTCGTCTGCAGCGTGCCGGTCACAACTTAGGAGAGAAACAAGGGAAACATAGGGGAGGAAAGAAGAAGTGCCTGTGTGTGTTTGTTTGTTTGTGTGTGTGTGCGTGTGTGTGTGTGTGTGTGCGTGTGTGTGTGTGCGCGTGTGTGTGTGTGTGTGTGTGTGTGATGTTGATAAGGGAGGTGGGTGAGAGATAGCTGACCGATTTTGACAAGTACAGATTTTGATCCAAACGTAAAAGGTAGATATAGGGTTCTTAGCTACGACAGCTAACTTCTAACCGCCGCAACTACCGTCGCAACCGCCGCAGGTAAAGCACCGTTGTAACTGTACCAAGCTCGCCATCTGCGGCCAGGAGCAGGAGGCGGCAATGAAGGCTGCAGCGGAGGGAAGGATCTCCCAAAACTACGTACTGCCGTAGATTGAACCCCCCCAACCTAGTTCGCCGCGTCACACATCACCCGCACTGATGGCCACCCGAAGCCTTTTGACCTTTGATTCATCTTGACAACTGCGTACGACAACCATTACGGCAGTAACCGCTAACCAACCGCTCATTTGCTACCCGACGTACGATGAGGAACACATCTGTTGACAGCCCAGCCTTTATCGTCGTGTAGGACTTTCTTAAATTTATTGTGCTGTGCTGTGCTGGGCTGTGCGGCTTCGAAGGTCAATCAATCGCCGTCAGACTTTGTTGACCACGTAATCGATTTTGATGCAGCCTGTCCCGGGCAGCCTGATTGCCATGGCGCTTAAATTACCATGGCGCCTGGGGACATCCAGCTACCTACCTACCTACCTACCTACCAACTAACCAACCAACCTAGCTTAATTATGTTCCTGATCAGCTCCAACCAGCCTCGCGACCCCTCACAAAGGGGGATTTTTGTTGGAGGCGGCTGTGCGCGGTTTGCTGCAAGTGCGCTGGGACAGGGGAGTGGGAGCGTTGCATGTACGGCAAGTGTCATCATAGCGCAGTAGGCTGTGATCATTTTTCGCGAGCTGTTGGCGACGACCCTTCTTTGGAGTGTGCGCTACCGATCCTTCGTGCACGAGGTGGTGCGCGTGTACATTTGTGGACTTCGGTGCGAAGTCTGAGGAGGAGAGGGGGAGGGGGGAGGGGGGAGGGGAGGGTATATAGATTGAGTAGAGCACAGAGCGTAGAGGACAGCCGCGGTCTTGGTGGACCGGGAGGACCAGGTTGTGCGGGTGGGGGGAGGGGAAGCGGGGTGTGTGTATGGGGGCCAGTCAAGTCCTTGCAGTGGCAGCAGCAGCAGCCATGCACGTGCACTGCACTTCTTGCCGATGTGCGTGTCTCTCTCTCTCGCAGCATTAGAACCCCCCCTGACGCTGTCCTCGGGGAGTGGCGGCCCGTCGAGCTAACCACCGGGCAGTCCGTGTGGGTTGGAGTCCGTTATTGGTTGGTCGTTGGTCGTTGGGCTGCCGGTTAATACTGTTGAGTAGACTGTACACTGGGGGGAGGCACGAAGGGCGTGGTGTGGTGTCTTACAATTGATGCCAGTGATGCGTGTATGTGCTCGAATGGACTGAGTCGCGATGTATGTATGTATGTATATGAAGAGGGTGAGGGGAGGGAGGGGGAAGTGCTTGGAGTTGACAGTTGACAGTTGCAAAAGGTATATGTGCAGTGCAGATGGACCGCAGGCCCCCGAAACCACATTTTTTTGCGCATGGGAACTTGGGGTTTTCCTTCTCCATGCAACTTCATACCGTACACATACTACCAAGCAGATGTCGTGTATTAATGGTGTCGTACAGTTGACCGGGCCGACATGGAGGGCGGCGGGCAGCATGTCGGTAAAGCCCTGGATTGGTTGAGGAGTGTTTACTCGTGTGTTGTGTATTACCGCGGTTGTTGTTGTGGTGTGGTGGTGTGGTATCAGATGGTAGGCAGCTTGCAACCACGGAGAGGTATATCTGTCTGTAACCATGGTAACTTAGTGGTGAACTTCTCCCCGCTATAGCTACGGTGCACTCTTTCTTCGTATGGGTAGTGGCTACGAAGCTATTATGCGAGATGGGTCAGGAGGCCAAGTGGGATTAGAAAACGAGTCTGAGCTGTGGCCCGGTTGCCTCCCTCGATCGATCAACTCCCTACCAGAGTAGCACAGCGGGATTTGCACCGAGTAATGGCTTCTACAGCCTGCTCTTGTATTCAGCCCGGCAGCTACGTTTGGCATTCCACAACAGGTTGGCGAAGTAGCTGTTTTATTGTTGTCCCGATTAGTGTGTAATGAGGGAAGAGAGATGAGGACAATGAAACAGGGGGTGCTGGTGACTTTGCCAAACTTTCAACGCTTCCAACTAGCAATCATGTGTAAAATGCAAACACCAAAAAATTTGTCCATACCGAAGCTGAAATTGTAAAAAACATAAGGACTCCGGTCAACAAGCTATACAAAATCTAAAACATTTCACCTTGTGCAGCTGCATCTGTGGAATTATTCAATTTGCTCTATGAGCAATAGCAAAAATCATACTTTAGCAATCGCAAGCAACTTGTCCGAGGCATTTCAGGCCCACGCGCGGCAAGACCGAGGAATGGAGTTAATTAGCTCAACGCAGCAAAGATTTTTTTCCTTCAATGCTGTCTTTGCATGTAACCACAGTGTCATCATGAAAGTACGCCGCGACGTTTGTCCCGCGGGTCGCTGCCGTACTATGACGCGAGTTGGTACAGCGTTCCAGCTAAGCGAGCCGGGTGACGGGACGCGCATCATTGAATTCCCAGGTACCATGTTACTTCTCTCGAACTATATTTCAAATTTCGACCCCAGCTTTATTAGGACAACTCTTGAGAAGAAGTTAAGGGCATCGCCCCGAGGTCAAGTCGTTGTATATAGAAAACATCACTTCTTTTGAGTTCCTTTCCTCTCTTTGCCAAAAAACACCTAAACCTCTTTCTTTTCCTTCTTATGTATTAAATAATACCGTTCAGGCTTCAGAAACTTTCATCACCGCGAAGCTTAGGGTGTCGCAAACGGAAAAATGCAGCTCGCGCAGCCTCTGCGGCCACCCTGCCTAAAATTTCCTCGGCCGCGAACCGGACACATGGTACAATTTGGTCCCTATCCGGCTGCCTGCGCCCTGGCTTGCGGAAGACCTTACCGCTGGCTGTTCATCAGCCGTGGCACGAGCTTTAGCTCATCCCGCTGCGTCGCGCACCGCGTTTCCGGCCCCGCTGCCGCTTCTGTTGCTGTTAGCAAGGCCCCTAGGGACCCCGTACCCTTCAGCGTCACCACCGCCCCGACATCCCTGCCTCCGGAATTATCCAACCCACCCATCCTCACACGAGCCGCCACAGATTCGACAAAGGCAGCAGCTGCAACGACGGCAGTGCTAGCAAGAAGGGGAATGTATCCGTTGGGGCCGTTGTCTGCGATAGCAGCGTGTACGGCAACACCGGCGCCAGCGCCGGCGGCGGCAACCCTTGCGGACGCCAGCGCTGGCGCTTTGTCAAGCCGCACCGCCGGGACCGCCGCCGCCGCCGCCGCCGCAGCTGCCCCCGCCGCTGCCGTCACCATCTGCGCCTCACCGACACATACGATGCATCTCGGCGACGCCGCCCCCTACTATTGCGGTGGCGGCGGCGCCGTCACCTCTGCGTTGGCGACTCGGTTCAGCTCGTCATTATATGCCGTACACTGTTACGGGTGGCGCAGGAGCGCCAATCTTCCGGGCGGACATAATAGCCGTACACGGTTGCGGGGTGTCGTGATGTCCGGATGGCGGGCAAATGACGGCAGCGGCGGCGGCGCTCCCACCGCCGCCGCCGATGGCGGCTCCGACAACCGCACCGATGATGCCCCCGAGGGCCGCACTACCAGCAGTAGCAGCAGCAGCAGCATCACAAGCGGCTATAGCGGGGACATGTCGTCACATGGCCGCGGTGGGGCTGGCGGCAGTAGCAGTAGCAGCAGTAGCACTGAAAGCAGTTGCCCTTCACAGGCGCTGAGTCTGGAGCGCATTATCCAGGTCTCGGCTGCATATGTGTGAGTAGAGCTAAGGGGAGCGTGCGCCTGAAATAAATCGTACAACCGAAAACCGCCCTGAAAAGTGATTGCATCCCCGGGTTTAACTTTTGCATTTTTTCTGTTTTTGTTTAGAGCAATGCTGTGCCATTGTATGCTGGCTGCGCTGAGCCGTACTGTGCTGTACGGTCCTAAATCGTACGACGGCCACGGCCTCCTCCATCCTTCGCTCTTTGTTTCATTTCCTGACGCCTGTGCATTGCGTGTGCGGTGTATGCGGATCCCTCCGTGGGCCCCCTCCCCCTCCCCCTCCGCCTCCCTCACCCCCCAACACACACACACCGTCTCTGTAGAGATGCCTGGTGGCGGGGGGTGGCGCGGGGCCCGGCGGCGGCGGAGGAAGCGCTCAGAGAGCTCGTGGTTACCGGGCACGTAGCGGGGGGAGGTGGCGGCGGCCCGGGCGGCGACGGAGGAGCAGCTGCCGCGGACAGCAGCGGTGGCGGCGGCTCCCCCTCCCCCCCCTCCCCCTCCCCCTCCCCCTCCGCCTCCGCCTCCGCGGGCGCCATTGCGTCCTCCCTGCATCCTCATACAGCCGCCGCTCAAGACGAATCCGCAGCTGCTCAACAGCAAGAGCAGCAGCAGCAGCAACAACAACAACAACAACAGCCCCATTCGAAGGATGCGATGGTGGCGGTAGCGGCGCCGCCACAACAACAGCAACAGCAACAGCAACAGCAACAACAGCAGCAGCCGCGGCGTAAGGAGCAGCAACGGCAGCAGCAGCCGCGGCCCCAGTGGGGTGAGGCGGAGGCGGCACAGCCTCAAGCAGCTGCTCCTCCTACCCCGCCTCCTCCCCCTCCTCCTCCTCGAGCGCAGCAGGATCAGCGGCCCCAGCGGCCCCAGCAGCACCCGGCGGAGGAAGCGGCGCTGCTGACGTTGATGCCGGACGGAGTGCTGCACAAGCGGCCCTTGAGGGTGAGTGTACGGCAGTACGATGTTGTTGGGGAGATGGAGACTCGCGTAATCCGCATCAGGCATCACCCCGGGTGGGGGTGGTTTGCTAAGGTTCCTTTGAGGGACGGGGGGAGGGCTTGAGGGGCAGAGAGGCGGAAACGGGCGACAGAGGGCTGTGTGTGTGTGTGTGTGTGTGTGTGTGTGTGTGTAAAATAGTCAGCTGTGAATATCACAATAGCTTAGTTTGGCAACTTCCGGCTCAAACCCCGCTTCCCCGTCCCGCCGCTCTTTCCGCCAATTTCTTTCCGTTCTGTTCCGCCCCTCCTTTCGGCACTTTGTTCTGTTGCCACCACCACCACCACCACCACAACCGCAGTTGCAACCGCAAATTCTAACCACAAACGCCCATAACCGCAATTCTAACCGCAATCACAACCGGAACTGCCTTCAGGGTTACGACGCTTTGGTGGCTCAACTGGCAGCACAGCACGCCGAATACCACCGGGTGCAGTACAGGCCCGTAACAAGGTATGTACGACAAAAAAGGGCGGGCTCATGGGGCTCATGGTTGTGTGGTTTATTCTGGACCATGAGCTCTTGTTGTATTAGTAAATATATGCTGCTACCTGGCCGGCCCATTCTCTATTTCCCATTCTCGGAAAAGGCTATCAAAGCAAAAGGCGGTGTGGTGGCGGCGGCCAGGTGATCTGATGCTCTGTTGGCGGTGATGGCGGCGGTAGTGGCTGTACAACTTCCTTAACACTTCTTGCAGCTGCTGCTCTTCTCTTCTCTTCTCTTCTCTTCGCGGTCTTAAGCGGCTCACAGTCCGCGCTTGTTCGTACTGCCCGCCTCTGCTGTACCACCACCACCACCACCACCACCGCCGCCGCCGCCGCCGCCGCGATGATGATGATGATGATGATGATGATGATGACGATGATGATGACGGTGGCGGCGTCCGACCTCTCCCCGCCACTGCAACATATGTTTCGACGTATGTATGTCAGTGCGGCCTCCTGCGGCTCCAGTTGCGGCTACGTGTTGGGGGAGTTCCGGATGCAGGACGTGGGGGGCCTGGCGGGGCACCCCGCGACGTTCAGGTGAGTGAGAGAGAGAGAGAGTGTGTGTGTGTGTGTGTGTGTTTGGGGGGAGGGAGGGAAAATGGGTTTCAGGTTGGCAGCCCCCCCCCCCAGCCCCTTTCAAAGGGGGCTTTCCCGAAGTTTAGGTTGTTAGGGTTTTTATGGCTCCATCCCCCTTTCTCACCCCACCCTACCCCACCCTACCCCACGCGGTCCGTCGACGTGTGCAGGGTCAGTCGCGGCTATTGCCTGTTTAAGCTCCGAGTTGATCCTGAGAGCGCCCGGATTAGTCGGGGGTGGGTACGGCGTCAGATGACGCAGGAGGAGCGGGACGAGCGCGTCTGGGTGGGTGGGGGGATGGGGGAGGGGTGGGGAGGCTGAGAGATCAGCGGAGAATTTAATTTAGGAGAATCATAAAAGCTGTTGTCGTTAGGAGGTAGCAGTTAAGTGATCACTGGCTATGACACTTCTCCGAAGCTATATAGTATTGATAGAGCTTCTGGGGGGACAAGGTGTTTCTCACTTGCCCTCGGCCCGAGACACAGCTGTACCCCACCATGTCGTACCGTGCCGTACAATGGCCGACAGGACCCCGTACACGTCTACCCGGCGGCTTTCCCGCTGGAGCGGCTGCATCTCACGCGAGGTGGTAAACCTGACCCACGGGTCATGGAGGAGGCCGCGTGTGCTTGGGTGGCGGCGCAGGCTAAGCCGCGGCGGCCGCCGGAGACCCGGAGTGTCCCGGAGGGGCTTACGCGCGTTGGAGGTACGGCAGGGAGAGCGCGGATGTCAGGTGGCGAAGCTGAGAGGGCGCCGGCGGCGGCGGCGGCGGTGGCGGCGGCGGTAGGGGGAGAGGGGAAGGAGGCGCCAGGTGGTGTGGTGCGGCAGATGGCGGAAGCGGGAGGAGCTGCTGTCGGTGGCGGCGGCGGGGGCGGCTCCGACGCGATGCTGTACGGCACCGGAGACGTTCTCAGCGCCGCGGGTGAGACGCAGGAGGCGCCGTCGTCTGCGAGCTCGCCTCAGGTCAGTGGGACTCCGCCGCCGTCAGTCGAGACGGCGACGATGGGCGATGGTGGCGGCGGCGGCGGCGGCGGCGGCCTTCAGAGTCTCCGTACCGGCGGCTATATTGAAAGTATTAGTTCTCCTGATCAGCCGACAAGTCGCGGCGGGGAAGCTGGAGACCTATTCAGTAGCATCCGTCACGGCGGCGGCGGCGGCGGCGGTGCCGTACCGCGGGTTGACGGTGGCCCTTCAGTGTCCCCCCCCGGTGCCGCGGGTACTGCGGAGCCGCCGGAAGTGGACCAGAAGGGAGTTCGGGAAGCGTACGACAGGGTAACGGCGTCGGCGGCGCTGGGGCCGGATGCCGTAAAAGTCAACACGGTGGACGGTGTAAGCGCCGCCGCCGCCGCTGCCGTACCGACGCCCACAACGATGGCACAATCCCGGCTGGTCGATCGCGTACTCGCCGATGACTGCAGGTGCGTGTGGCTTGCGTGATGACGTACACTGTTACATCGCGGTATGTTTTCCCCCACGCCTATCCGCCGTACATTGTCGTACATGTCATGCGGATCGTACCTTTCCAACAGTGCATAGAGGCGGCATATCATCGTCGGTCCTCGACCTGGCTCCATCCTGCCGTTTGCAGGTTTCTTGACGCGTACGGCATCTGGCCGGACCCGGACGATGAGGATGGATCGTCGTACGGCATACAGTCGTACGCCGGGCGGCGCCCTCAGGCGGTTGCTGGCGTACAGCAGATCCTGCGACGCATCCAGGTGAGAGGGAAATGAGCGTTATGAGCGTTATCCTCTTTGTCGGCACTTAGTTTCGTTGTCTGCGGTGTGCTGACGGCGCCCTCAGATTGAAATTCCACCGTGTTTTTTCCAGCTGAAAGCTTCTAAGGTTTTGCGGGAGTTCGATCCGTGTGGACTTCATAAATCCGCCCGGGGGGAATTGGGGGGGAGCCCGCGGGAAATCCGGTCTCCCTGCTAGCGCTCTCCACTGCTCTCCTGAATTCACTGCCATTTTCGTCACTGTACATCAATGAAGCTGCCGCCACCGGTGTACGGCAATCAAACTGTTCTTATCTTTTGCTCTAATTTCGGGATCGCTTCGGGACGGCACATCAGGCCCAGCAGCGGCGATGCGCTCAGGTCGAGCCGCTACTGTACGATGTGGCGGTTTCGGAGGATCACAACCTGGCTTTCGTACACTGGGTCAACGTCGTAACGCCCGCGCCTGAGGCGCCTAAACCACCGCCGCCGACACCCCAGCAGCAAAAGCAGCATTCGACACCGAATGCCAAATATGCGGCGGTCCCGGCGGCCGGCGTGCCAGCGGCGGCAGCGCCTACGACCCGTGGGTCTGAGGGCGGCGGCGATGGCGGCTCCGGGCTTGCAGTAGCGGCGAGCAGTGCCGCTGCCGCGGCGGCAACGGCCGCGACGGCGGCGGCGCGGGCCGCCACCGCCGCAGCTGACGTTGCGTCGACGGCCGCCTCCGCCGCCAGCGTTGCCGCCAGCAGCGCCAGCACAGCCGCTACCATCGCTGCCACCGCCGCCACCGCCGCGGCGTTTGCGGCAGGCGCGGAAGAGGCGGAGAGCCGCCTGGCGGCAGCGTCCAAGCAACAGCCAGAAGGGCCGCCATCGTTGACAGCTACAGCCCAGACCGAACAGGCCCTGGCGGCGCCGCTGCTGACGCAGCAGCAGCAGCAACCTCAAGAGCAGCCAGCGGGTACGGAGCTGAACGCGGCGCAGATTAGCGGCGTTGCCGTCAACAGCCGCCAGAAGGTGGCGGCAGTGGACGACAACGGCGTAAGCGGCGGCGGCGGTGGTAGCGGGCGACCCATGGGTCTGCAAGACCTTCGTATTCCTATGCCTTCCATGCCCAACATGCCGCAGCTTCAGATCCAAAACCTGGAGGAAGCCTTGACGGCGGCGGCCCAGCGAGTGGCGGGCGCCGCCGGCACCGCCGCCGCTGCTGCGAGCGCCGCCGCAGCCGCCGCTACGGCAGTGATCATGGCGGAAAGCGCCGGCGCTGACAGCAGCGACGTCGTCGCCGCCGCCGCTGCCAAGGCGGTAGCGGCGGCGCAGCAGCGCAAGAAGGATGCAGCTGCAGCCGCAGCTGCTGCGACGGCACCAGCGCCAGCGCCGCCGCCGCCGCCGCCGCCGGTGCCGTACCAGCAGGAGTGCATGGCGGCGCTGCTGTTCCACGATGACGGCACTGTATCTGACATTTGGATGTTTCGCGGCCCTTTCCATTACGAGCGCCGCCTCCTGAAGCCCTAGCGCGGTGCGGTCCGGTGCGGTGGCAGCGGCATGGGTCGACTTGGCACGAATCTGAGTTGTGGACTATTACTGTTCGGCTACAGTACGGCTGTTCCAGTTGGTTACAATACGGCTATTACAGTTGGTTCAGTACGGCTATTACAGTTGGTTACAGTTCGGCTGTTACAGTTGGCTACAGTACGGCTATTGCAGCTGGGATTCCAAGGGTCCTATCGATCTCCTCCACCACCATGCGGCAGGACGGCTGCCCGAGCCGCCTCCTGATTTCTCAGGAAGCCGCACAAATTATTAGCGCTCGGTCGTACATCGTACGGCGGTGTACGGTAAGAGATGTAAGGTGGACGAGGTGCGACGGCAGCGGGTCGGTCATTGTCATCAGACTCTTTCTTCCACCCCTCTGTGGGTGGAGTGGGGCGGTGTGGGGAGACTCTGGGGGATCGAGTGATTGCGTGTGCTTGTTGTTGGCATTCAGAGGGGCAGTGCTGCTTCACTGTCAGCATGGCCGCAGCGCAGGGTGTATGTGTGTATGTGCTTATGTGTGTGTATGTGTGTATGTGTGTGTATGTATGTATGTGTGTATGTATGTTTGTGTGTTTGTGTGTATGTGTATGTGTGTATGTGTGTTTGTGTGTGTATGTGTGTATGTGTGTTTGTGTGTGTATGTGTGTATGTGTGTTTGTGTGTGTATGAGGGGGGCCATGAACCCTGTTGTTTGTTTACCCATGCAGCCTCTCACGGCCTCCTCTTTGGCCGCCGCTTGGGGAGTCGCGGTGGGCGCCGAGGTCGCCTTTCGATTTCCTTGAGTGCAGCGATGACGACTGCAATGGTGGTGGTATTGAATGTGTTCCCCTCTCCCCCCCCTCGCGGAGGGGGACCACCAACCAGCTTTATGTGTCGTGATGCATAAAGCTGCTTGTATGCAGGTTCCCGTGCCTAGCACTGGCAGATTGCTTTAATTAAAATATCAAAATTACCTTCATTCTTTGGCGATGAGTTACGTGTTTTTGGTGCACACTACTTTTTGATACGGCTGTTCTTCGTCTATTCGCTTTTCTGTAATTGTTGGGACGGTTTGGGACGGTTCGGACGGGAAAAATGATGGTTGGGTTTATCTGTGGGGATTTGAAGGGGAAAAGGAGTGCTGCCAAAAGATGTTGTCAAGTGTGCTGAGCGTGTGTATGTTTGTGTTTTACGAATGGGTGTGTCTATGTGTGTATGTGTATGTGTATGTGCATGTGTACGTGTGTGTATGTTTAATGAATGTGTTAGTGTGTGTGTTTGCCGAGTTGTGTTGAAGTGTTGACAAGGAGTATCGAGAATGGGAGCAAATATGAAGGAAAGTCCTTTAGGCATTAATCCAGACGCGTTTAAGGTTAACAAAAAATTAACCTTTACCTTCACAGCTCATAACTACCAAACCAGCAAAACAACGGTGTCTTGGGGTTGGGGCGTCTGGAGCGGGTGCAGGGGGTTGGTCAAGGGCATGGATGGTGCGCGTGGTGGGCATCCTTACTCCGCTGGATCTGCTGTGATGTTGATGGATCAGGCGGAATCCTAAATCTGCAACAAGGACTAGCTGCTGCTCCTACATGTAGCCCAATCGGTCAGTAAAATTCTAAGCGCTGCTGGTATTGGCTCATCAGGTGGCCACAGAAGAAACCCAACGGCAACTCCCATGACTAAGATGTGTCCAGTACAGTGTGGATTGGGTAATAAAAGTTACAGACCTTGTGAGTGTGCCGTCAGCACTTTTACAACCAGACTTTGTGACATGAAAACTTGAAGCGAGGTGCTGTTATTTGCATTTGGCCAACTCGGCTCAACCAAAAACCGTCTCGTCGACACGTGTTCCGGTGCTAGGGTTCGCGTTTGTATCCGAAACGAAACAAAATTCCCTCAGTGTTTTGCTAGAAATCGACAAAGAAGACAGGATGCATGAGCAAACCTGAAGATAGCCAATCTCCATCCATCTGGCGGAACTTCAGCTTTACTTGAATTTGTTGCGGCCTTACTGATCTTATGTCAAGAGTGATACTCTCGAGATAGCGTGTGAAGCAGGTGCAAATGATGTCTGCGTGGATTGCGGGCCGCGCGGTGGTTGCGGCTCGATCCTCTGCGTTGTCTTGCGCTGGCTTGCGTTTCTGTTGCCCGTATTCTTCAGTTGCATCAGCATCTTCCTCAGCTTCTCTGCAGCCGGCCCGTGAGCAGATGAACTACGATGTGTTGGTCGTAGGGGCTGGCCCAGCCGGGCTGTCTGCCGCCATACGTATCAAAACGGTGCGTATCAAACGGGGCGCAGGTGTACAGTTTTACCCCGCAACAGTTTTCCATGAGGCTCATGAACGCCGCCTGCTAGGGGTCGTGTACGTCGTGGGCCTCATGGCCTGACGTGCAGTGGCTGGGGGTGATGTGTATATTCCATCTGCAGTATGTGTGTATAGGGCTTAAGGAAGGTGCAGACTGCGCAGTTTGCGGGGTGTAGAGTGAGGTGTTGGGAAAATGGCAAGGGGCGTTGTCATCATGCCAAGCCTCCTCGCGGTCCGCACCCGCGGCATCCACACCCTCTGCACCTCACCCACCGCGCCGCACCCACACGCGAAACCCGCGTGAAACCCCCTAAGCCCCCGAGAGAGACAGCCGCATGCCCGGCTGCCCTCTCTCCCACCTCACCTCGTCGTCGTCCTCCTCAAATCCCCCCTCCTCACTCCACCTCCGCAAATTCCCCCCCCATCGCCCCCCACCCCTCCTGTCCTACGTCTGGTACACCCTTGCCCTGGCAGCAGCTTCACTCGTTTGTGGTGGTTCGTCTTTCCCCACCCCCCCCTTCTCTCCCGCTGCAGCAATGTCAGTCCGCCGGAAGGGACCTGGCCGTGTGTGTCATTGAGAAGGGCGCTGAGGTGGGCGCCCACATACTGTCGGGGAATGTTCTAGAGACGCGGGCGCTGGACGAGCTGCTGCCGGGCTGGAAGGAAGACCCGGACTGCCCAATAAAAGTGCGTCATGCATGTGTGCCGACTGACTTGTGTGAAGCCTATGAGCCTGTCGGAGGAATGGCGGCGGCGCCAACCCCACTCACTCCTAGGAGCCGGCTCGCAGCCCAATCACTTTTAACCGGGTGTCCATCACCGCCCGCCGACATGGGGCACCATCCGCACTCTCTTACGGTCTTTAGATAAGAGGGATTGATTGTTATCCCGCCCCCCGCTGCTGTCGGTCGGTCGGGATTGAGGTTCTCCGTCAAGGACCTCCCAGGCGGGGTACGGCGTTGCCGCGCTGCAGCGCCGAAACATATTTGCTGCGTCTGGATCCCTATGTATGTATGTATATGTATGTATGTATGTATGTATGTATGTATGTATGTATGTATGTATGTATGTATGTATGTATGTATGTATGTATGTATGTATGTATGTATTGTGGAGGGGCCTTAGCTTTGCTTTGCGGCATCCCACATATCCCAAACAAGACACTCAATGGCAGCACACACGCACACACACACACATACCTCCTCAACGTCATCATTACCATACACCCATCTATGCACGTTTCCATCCCAAACCGCCCCTTCCCTGCCTCTTATGGCCCAATCCTCCTCCCCCTTCCGGCCCCCAAAAACCCCCAAACCCAACTCCAACCCACCCACCCCCCAATCCCCCCTCCTCGCCGCCGGGCCCGTGACCCCCCGCCCCACAGGTTCAGGCCAACCGGGACGCCACGCTGTGGCTGGCCACCCCCTCCCGCGCCCTGCCTCTACCCACGCCCCCCTCCATGCGCAACCGTGGCAAGGGCAACTACGTGGTTTCCCTGAGTGAGGTGACGCGGTGGATGGCCAGGAGGGCGGAGGCGCTGGGGGTGGAGATATACGCGGGGTTCGCCGGGAAGAAGGTGAGGGTATGGGTGCGAGCTGGGGGGGGTCGGGGTCGGGGGGGTTTTGGGGCTGGGGTTGAGTTTGAGGGTGTTTTTTTGGGGGGGAGGGGGTGAATGATGTAGGAAGGGAGGACGCGTCCGTGTGTGTGTTCCTTAAACCCACACCTCCTCTACTGGGGGATGAGGCGAGCATGAGATGAAGGCGATGAAATGAAAAGGACAAGCGATGCGATGTGGAACGGCAACTTGGTGGGCGTTACACCATACGTGTAATCACGTGAGTCTCGTGAATAACCTGCGTGATTTACTCATGATGTACGGCATGTGCGTGCAGATGTTGTACGGATGGGATGGTCAGGTGGAGGGCGTGGCGACCAACGACTTCGGCATTGGACGAGACGGGCGGCCCAAACCCAACTTCTCCCCTGGGGTGGATTTGAGGGCGCGGGTGACATTGCTGGCTGAGGGCTGCAGGGGATCGCTGTCTGAGGTACGACAGTACGGTTGGTTATGGGTTGTGGGTTATGGGGGTGGGTGAGGGATGTGTGGGTGTATGTGTATGTTAATGGGGCCACGGCCGAGATGGGTGGACAGAGGGGTAAGGTGGCGGGTGAGTTCGTTACGTGTATGTATGTACGTGTGTACGTACGTATGTATGTCCCCATGAGCCCCGCCTGAGATGCCGTTGGTTCTGCGTCGTCATACATACATACATATCCCTCATCCCCTTCGCGGGTGCTTGTTGCTCCTACTGCCGCTACTGCTGTCACTGTTGCTATTGTTGCTTGCTGCTACTGTTGCTACTGCTGCTGTTGCTACTGTTGCTACTGCTACTGCCGCTACTGCTGCCTCAGGAGGTGATATCGCGGTTTGGACTCCGCCAAGCATCTGGAGCTGAGCCTCAGACATACGCTCTAGGGATCAAGGAGGTGGGGGGGAGGGGGGTTGCGTGGGTTGTGCATGTCTACCATTTACACGCTGTTTGACTAATTGCTTTGGTAAGGTGGTTCCTGCGCGGCACTTCCCCTACTTCAGCATTTGCCAGTGGTTCGTCATATCCCCTTCAACCTTTCATTCTCGCGGCTCGGATAATAAACACACACATACACACAAAAACGCACACAGGTCTGGCAAGTTCCCGAGTCCCAGCACCGGCCTGGAATGGTGGTGCACACGGTTGGATATCCCGCCTCGTACGACACGTACGGCGGTGGTTTCATCTACCACATGTCTGAGCGCCGCGTCGCACTGGGTTACGTCATCGGACTGGACTACAGCAACCCCCACATTGACACATTCCAGGTGTGTATGTATGTATATATGTATGTATATATGTATGTATGTATGGCGAAGGGAGAGAGGACTGTGAGGGTGTACGGGACTTTGGGCACGTGGTGAAGTGTTTAGGTGGGCGGGTTGGGGTACCTGCGTAGGAAGGTGCTTCTGCGTGGGGCGGAGGGGGCGGGCGGGTGTACCTGTGTTTGCATCTGTCTGTCCGTCTGTCTGTCCATTCCGTTTGTGTGGCTGCTTGGACATGTACAGCTGAGACCTCCTCTGACACCTGACTCACTCGTACCCCTCCGTGTACAACATACATACATACATACACACTCCCACCCATACACGACGTGCGCGTCCCCCACATACCACCCAGGAGTTTCAGAAGTGGAAGGCGCACCCATCTGTACGGCACCACATCGAGGGCGGCACGTGTCTGCAGTACGGCGCACGGACGCTCAACGAGGGTATGCGTGTGCGTGGTGCATGTCTTTGTATGTATGTATGCATGTATGTATGTATGTATGTACGTACGTACGTACGCGGGTTTGGGGCAAGGGATGTGCGGCTGGGTAAAAACACTTGCCACAGATGTCCCCCACATGCCGCCTCCCGCCCTTAATCTCCCCCCCCCCTCAATCTCTCCCTTTGCTTTCGACGCCTGGGATACCGGTCGGGCCGGTGTTGCTTCCGCCGCCGTCAGGATTCCCTTTCCGTTAGCAGTTGTTGGTTATCTTAACTGCATCCTAGCGGATCTCCCGCCCGCCCCGCGTCCTCGCTTGGGGCCCCTTCAGCAGTTCGCAACTTTGCTCGCCGACTGCTGTTTTCCCCCCTGGACTTAGGGACGGGGCATATAACATAATTACCCCTTCTCCCTGGTTTTTGGACCCTGCCGTACAGTTCCATATTCCCCCCCTCCCTCCCTGCCCTCTTGGCCCCGAGACACACATACATACATACATACATACATACATACATACATACATACATACATACATACATACATACATACATACATACATACATACATACATACACACACGCAAGTTTTCCCCCATTCGCTCCCATCCCATCCCAGGTGGTGTCCAGTCGCTCCCTCGGCTGTTCTTCCCGGGGGGCGCGCTGGTGGGCTGCTCCGCTGGCTTCCTCAACGTGCCCAAGATCAAGGGCACCCACCTGGCCATGATGAGCGGCATGATGGCGGGGGAGGCGGCGTTCCGGGAGCTCACGGCGGCGGAGAACGGCACTGCTACTGCTAGTGCTGCTACTGCTGGTGCTGGTGCTACTGCTACTACTGCTGAGGGGGAAACGAGAGAGCAGAAGAGACAGGTTCGCGGTGGATGTGTGTGGCGGGGGATGTGTGTGGCGGGGGATGTGTGTGGAGGGGGAGGTGTGTGGAGGGGGAGGTGTGTGGAGGGGGAGGTGTGTGGAGGGGGAGGTGTGTGGAGGGGGGGTGGGCTGGCTGGTCGTTTGTGACCCATGATGAAAACCCATGACCCCCATGACGCGTGCAAAGATGTATTTCAGATGTTACGTGTTTGAAAGCTCGTGCACACAGACCCAAATAAGCTTAATCTTTTCTCTATATGTATGTATATATACATATATGATGTGTGAAACAGGGGGGTGTATGTTCGCCCGTGGCAGCTACCCTGCGAAACCCTGCCTTCCCCGGTATTTCGGGGCACCCTCATCCAGTCACCCTAGTCAACTTCTCAGTGGATCGCTCAGGTTCCGCACCCACCACCAGCATCCAACGGAATCTGCCGGGTCGACAGCGGCCCAACTCCGTTCCTGGTCGGCTCGCAGGTTAACTTTATCCCAGGTCACCACCGTCCATCAACTAGGGGCGCAACGCCTTCCACCATCGGAAGGACTTTGACCCTAATGGGTATCGATCCCGGGGATATATGTATGAACGTATTCCTGTTGGCCACCATCCTGACGTCTTTCCGAGGCCCTCCCCCCTCCCTCCCCCCCCCCCGGGTCCGCAACGCATCGCAGGGCACCGTGGACATGAGCAAGTATGAAGAGGCGTTGAAGAGGTCCTGGCTGTGGGACGAGCTGACTGCCGTACGTAACGTACGACCTGGGTTTAGGTGCGTCATCGCGCCTCCCGCCACGGGCTGCAGGGAGCGGTGGGGTCCCCCCGGGAGCCAGGCAGTTGGTGAGGTGGCATTTGGGGCTTGTGGGTCGTGAAGGGGCAGGTAAGTGGGGGGGGAAGAGGGGCAGGGAAATGTCTCGAACGTGGGGGTTTGGATGCAGGGGGAGCAGTACGGCTGGTGAGAGGTTGGTTAAGGTCTGTTTCGGTCGTTTTGGACGAAAGTTCCTATGTATATATGTGTGTATGTATATGTGTGTTATAAGTTCCTACATGTATGTAGGTGTGTGGTTGGGCGAGGGAAGGAGGACGGATATTTCCCCCTACCTCTACCCTCCTTCCGCAAACTCTCAACAACTAGGTCACCCCGCCCCGCGGACACCCCCCCCTCCGCAATAAAGGACTTCTCCTGGCCCCCCCTAGGAGGGGAAACACTGCACAGTTTGGTGTTTTTTGTATTCATGCAATCGGAAGTATCCCCTCCCTTCTCCCCTCCTCTTTCCTCCCTCCCCCATATTCCAACCCCCCGGTCAGGTGGGGCTTGCTCCCCGGATTGCTCCATGCTGCCCTGGAGGAGTACTTGCTGAAGGGCCGGGAGCCGTGGACACTAACACATGGGTAGGGGTGGGGGTGGGGAAGGGAGCTGGGGGGAGGGGCTGCGGGCTAATGGGGGGAAGGGGAGGGGCGGTGAGGGAAGAAGACGTGGAGGGTTGGAGCAGGGAACTCCTCCTCCCTAACCACCAACCGCAGTCAACGAAGGTCAACCGCTAACCACCATCGTTAACCACCAACAACCTATCTCAATGTCCTCTTCCCATTTCCCCCCGTGCAGCCGCCCCGACCGCGATCGCCTGCGGCCGCTGTCTGAGGCTCCGCCTCCGCCCTCCTACCAGAAACCCGACGGCGTCCTCACCTTCGACCTTCCCACCTCGCTCTACCGCTCCGGAACCAACCACGATCACGATCAGCCAAGTCATTTGGTGGTTTCAAACCCCGGCGAGTTTGAGCGCTCAAATTTGCCGCACTATGGCGGCCCCGAAACTAAGTACTGCCCTGCCGGCGTGTACGAGTACCGTACGGATGAGTACGGCAGGTCCAGACTGCACGTGAACGCTCAGAATTGCCTGCACTGCAAGGCGTGTGACATAAAGGATCCCGGCCGGAATATTCGGTGGACGGTGCCGGAGGGCGGGCAGGGCCCCAGCTACACAGCAATGTAGAGAGAGTATTAATAACAAATTATTTTGATGTTATATTTGATTCAGCAAGAGCCCAGTTAGGCAATAGTAGCAAATTAGGATTTGACGCGGGTTGGCAGTGGTACCTTCAGGAGTAGGATTGGATTCGGAAGACCTTAGCGCCTTTCCACCTAAGGTGCATTGGAAAAGGGAGAGAAATCTCGCGCTAGAAAGAGGTTCACGGCTGCGGAGGAGGAACAACAGCATGCCTCCGCGAACCAGCCGGTGATGGTGGTGGTGGTGATGGTGGTGGTGGTGGTGGTGATTTGGGTTTCGTGGGGGTGACAGGGTAGGGCGGCCAGCGAGGGGTTTCCTCGGGCCGTCTCGCGGTAAGTCGTCTGCTGACGCCGGCAGGGAAGCGGGGGTGGGCGGGACAGGGCGGGGCAGTGCTTCTGTTGACTGTTGGTGTTGTTGTTGTTGGTGGTGGTGGTTTGGTTGGTGATGGTGTTACTTGTGGTCTGGTGGAGACCGCGCGGTAGGGGGAAAGGGATCGGATAAGTGGTGGCGGAGGTGGAGGAGGAGTGGAGGAACTCGTTATGCATGGCGGTATCCGTTATGGTCATGATCCGTCATGATCAACATGACGCAGATTCTTTCTACCCTTCCCCCGCCTCTCACCAGATTTCCAGCAGGTGCACAAGTCTTGTGCAATAACCTGGAAAAAACAAATTTCAAGACGCACAATCTGGGTCATACGCCTGCCTTTTAGTTACGGACCGCGAATGCCAAGAGGAAAACAAGAGGAAAAGAGGAAAACATTGGCAGTTCTGTTGTAACTGCACCTGCGGCTAAGGCTGCTGCTATGATGGTTGGTGGCACTGGGGAAGATGGAACCAGATGTTGGGTGTTGCTTTTCGTTGTTGTTGTCCAGTGTTGATGTAGTTGTTGCTACTGCTGTCGCTGTTGTTGTTCCGTAGCGGCCATTTAACTGGCGCAGTTTGTCCTAACTGCGGGACTGTATGTTTGCCGGGAGGCTGCAAGTGATGGATGGGAGGGGGCTAAGGTGCAGCGTGCAGTTTTATGAACAAGAGGTTTTGTAAGGGCGGTAGATGCGATGCGTTGGGACAGTTTGGCGCGCAAGGCTCGCGTGCTTGGCTTTGTTGGGCTTGCACGGGCTGGAAGGGGGCTGGACTGCGATATACAACGAAGGCTTGTGTCGCAGCAGGTCTTGTTGTTACGGACAGAGTACAGGGCAGTCCTCTTGACGGCAAGATGAGGGATTTACTGCAGATGCCCGGCAAATGCATTGCCAGCTCCAGGATTGCTCCGGAACCAGTCAACCGCCTGGGAACCTTGCTTGGAGATTACCTCAGGAAGTAGCGCCTTATCATGAGTAAGGTGAAGCACTTCTTACACATAACAAGCCGGTGGACGCTTACACTCATTCCCGCCAAACACCTAGTTCCATCGACGAAGGAGTGGCTTGAGTCACGGCTCCTAACCCTACACATATGCTGAACTGATCGAACGAACAAACCGATGAACGCTGAAAACGAGCATGTGGCCAGCTGTCCTCAACCGCTTGAAAATGGTCTTTGTGTCGAAGAGGACGCCAAGCAAACCTCCATCGATGATGCTCTGTCAGCTGTCGGTATGGGAGCACACCAGCTGGGTATCTTTCTGTATGTCGGCGGATGTTGGATGAGCGATGCTATGGAGGTCATGCTCGTTGCAGTTCTGGCACCAGCGGTGAGATATGAAGCGTTCCTCGAACGGTGACAGCGACGCTAATGTTTCAAACTAAACCGAAACAAAACTTTGGGCTTGATGACAAAACACGCTTTGACAAAACGGTCTCTTCAGCACCTTTTTCACCCGCAAAAACATCGCGACCCAAATAAATCCCTTTCGCATTTCTTCCACCAGGACTGATGTGGGTCCTCATGGCTGTGCCCTTTCTCCTTCAAGCAGATTCCCCCATGCCTTATCCTGCCTTGGGAACAAGCTTAACGCCGCTGCTTCTGCACCTGAGCATTTTCCCGGCCCGGGTAAACTCAACCACCTCATCCTCGCCTGACGGAAACTTTAATTATGCGCCTCGCCTGGTCACCAGCAAGCTGCCTCCCTCCCGCCTTCCTATCTGTTTTGTGTGTGTGCGTACACATAACGTCACGTGCGGGTGATTTTCAGATTGGTTGCGACTGGGGCACCTCGCCTGAGGGTCAGTCCCTCCTGGCGTCCTCAGTTTTCACGGGCATGATGTTGGCGAGCAGTGCCTGGGGGGTGGTGGCGGACCTGGCGGGAAGGTAGGCAGGGCCGGGGCCGGAAGGTAGGAGTACAGATTACACCTTAGCTATAGACATATGACACTAATAAACGGGGTAATAGTTGGGAGCAGAGGCATGTACATAGACAGAACGGAGAACTGCTACGGACAGTAATAACTGGGATTCGAACCTTGGCCTTGCTGACCAACCTCTTGGGGGGAAAAGAGAACGAGGCTTTGGGATGTGACACATCCTCCCTCTTCCTCTCCCTCCCTTCCTCCATCTTAACCGACACGCTTAATCTCTTCATCATCCACCACCACCACCACCACTACCTACCAATCCTAGCACAATCTTCATTTCCAAATCCACGTCCCCCAGCTCCTCCCTTACACACGACCGCGATTGACCTTTGGCTTCTTTTGCGTGTGTGATCCAACCCCCCTCCACCTCCTCCGGGGCGCAGGAAGGCGGCATTCGGCGCGGCTGCGGGTTTGGCAGCCTCCGCCGGATTCGCTAGCGCCTTCGCACCCACCTTCACCTGGCTGGTGGTCCTGCGGCTCCTGGTGGGGGCCGGGCTGGTGGGGGTGCTGCCCATGTACACGTTGTTGGAAGGTACGACTGTCGTACCGGTGGGGGGGAGAGGGGCGGTAGCGGCGGTCGGTGGGGGGTTGGGTGCTGTGTGTGTGTGTTTTCTTATGTACGATTTAAGTAAACTGGGTCGACCAAAAGCATTCCTGTGCACCTATGGCTTACCTACAGGTACGTGCAATGTAGATATGTCTGTATGTAAGTACGTACTGAGTGCGACATGTGTCGTGCGTTTGAATCTACTGAAGCGAAGCGGGAAGTGGGATCGAAAAACCAGCAATAGCGATGCAACAATGCGAGGCGATGCCTGTGTATGTACGTACGTATGTGAGTATGTACTTGCGTGCGCTTCCTACAATCCCCCCCACACCCCACACCTCACACACACCTCCCCTCCTCAACTCCATTTTACCCCAACTACAGAGTGGCTCCCGAAGGACAGCTGTGGCAAGGGCAAGTGGCTGGTGGCGCTGCAGGTACGTACGGATGTACGTCGTACGTCGTACGTACAGGGACACCGTGAGCTCTTTCCTCTCCTTTCCCCTTTCCTTTCCCACATACTCATAAACGAACTCGCGCTGCACTCTTGAGTGTGTGGGTGTGGATGTGGGTGTGGGTGCGAAGAGGGATATTACCCTGGAGGACGAATGGAGGAGGAGGGGGGGGAGTGATGAAGCTGAATGGTGGTGCTGGTGGCCCTGTGCCGCAACCTGAAGCCAAAAGCGACGGGTTGACGGGTGCATAACTACCATGACTGCCATAACTCTTACCATAACCATGCACCACCATCACCGTGATTTGAAAACACTGTTCGCCTCTCGTCACTCGCCTCGCCCCTCCTCCCGCTCCCCCCCGCTCCCCGCAGCTGATTATTTGTTTCTTAGGGTTTGTACTACTGCATCATACAATCTTCAGCACCAATCATCATCATCATCATCATCATCATCATGCATTATATTTTGTACATCACCCCCATCGACAGGCCTGGTGGAGTGTGGGTACGGTGCTGGAGGGGCTGTTGGCCTTGTGGTTGCTCAACTCGTACGGCTGGAGGGCGCTGCTGGCTGCGTCCTCCATTCCCCTCGGTGGGTGGCGGGTGGGCGGGGAGGCGGCGGCGGAGGAGGAGGCATGACGGGCAGCCTTTTGTTTTGTATTGTTCATGTCTGTAGTTTTGTGGGGTGTTAGTGCGAGTGAGAATGCTGGCGAGCCAGCAAAGGCAGCGGGACCGGCCTCGGGGGTAACAGCCTTCTTCTCCATTGCGCTTCTACACGCCATCCGTCACAAACCCCAACCCCGCCCTCCACCCCCGCCCTCTCTAAACATACATACATACATACACACACGAAGTATTCCCCCTCATAAACATCCCCCTATCCCACCACAAATCCACATAATCTGTTGTAAAGGTTTGCATGTATGTATGTTCCCCCCTCCTCCTCCCCCTCCTCCCCCCCCTCCTCCTCCTCCTCCCAGGTTGCATCCTGTTGGCATTACCGCTGGTTTCCGAGTCGCCTCACTATCTCGCCGCGTCTGGTCGGATGGCGGAGGCGCACCGCGTGCTGGCGCTGGCAGCCCGCCGTAACGGCACCTCGTCGCGGCTGCGGCAGCACCTCCATTTCCACCGCAACAAGGTGGATCCGACCCTTGAGCAGCATCTGCGCATGGCGGAGCTACCGGACGAGGAGGAGGGGCTGCTGCTGCTGCCATCGCCGCCGCGGCGGCGGCAGGTGGGATTGCCGGCGCCTGTGACGGAGGGCGGAAATGTGGACAGCCCTGTGCCCGCCGGCGGCGGCGTTGCCGCCGCCGCATCTGGGAATGGTTTTGATTACGTTGCAGTTGATGATGAGCGGCCATTGGGGCGGGAGGTCGGCGTCCCGTCGGCGGAGGAGGCGCCCTTGGAAGTGGAAACAGCGCCGACGACGGGACGGAGCCCCTCGTCTGGTGTATACTGCGGCCGCGGCGGCGGCGCCTGCGCGTTGTGCCGCCGTTGCTGTAGCGGCAGCGCTGACGGTGACGCTGACGGCAATGGCGCAGTGGATGGTGTTTGCTGCTTCGGTAAGCGGAGCGGCGACAGCGGCTGTTGCTGTGATGGCGATGGCGGCGCCGTCGCCAGGGCCGCCGCTGTCGCGGGCTGGTGCCGTGAGCTAGCGGCGCTCGGACGCATTTTGCTGGGGCCGGAGCTGTACGGCCGTACGTGGCGTCTGGCGATTAGTTGGTTCGCCTGCGCGCTGTCGTACTATGGTGTCGTTATGCTCGTGCCGTGGGTCGCCGCAGGCAGTCTGCATATGCGTGACGGCGGCGGGGCCGCTGCCGTCGCCACTGCAGCCGCCGCCGGCAGCTGTGTGCCTTGGCCCAGTGGTGGCGGGATGCATTTGGTGCTGCCGCTCGGCGCTTACGTAAGCATGATGGGGGCCGCCGCAGCGGAGCTGCCCTCCCTCGCGTGGGCCTTCCTGGCGGTGGACCGCTGGAAAAGTCGTACAGTCGTCGCGCTGAGCCTCATTGCCACGGCGGCGGCGCTAGCGCCGCTGGTCCTGGCACAGGTTGGCGGCAGCGCCGCCGCCGCCGAAAACATGCCGGCCCTGACGGCGCCACCGCCGCCGCCGCTGCACCCGGCAGCGGATACGGCAGACGGTACGGCAGGGCCGGTGGCGGTGATGCGGCGGCAGATGCACCCTGCCTGGCTGACGTCGTCGGCGTCGTGGTGGCTGCCGCTGGCGTCTGTGCTGCTGGCGCGCCTTTTCGTGTCCGGCGCCTTCACGTTGTTGTACGTCCTGACGCCGGAGCAATACCCGTCGAGGGTCCGTGGGTCGGCGCTGGGCGCCGCCAACACACTGGCGCGGTTGGGCGCGCTGGCGGCGCCGTTCGTGGCGGTTGCGCTGCCGCAGCGCGGCGCCCTGCCGGGTGCCCTGGGGCTGATGGCGGTGAGCTGCGGCGCGGCGGCGCTGGCCGTGTGGGGCCTGCGCGGCGAGGGAGGGGGAGAGAAGCGGGAGGGTGTGTAACTGGGGGAAGGGCGCTGGTGGGGGCTGGCTTGGGGTGGGGTGGGGTGGGGGAGGTAGTTGTGGTCTGTGACGGTTTCGGAGCGTGCGCGTGTGCTTGTGTCTGTGTGTATATCTAAGTTGAGCCGCATGCGTGCGGATTGGCATTTCGCCTCGTGAAGAGGTGAGAGGGGGGGTATGAAGCTTCATGAGCCTCGCCGAGTGAGTTTAACGGCAGCGGTGAAGAAAGATGATGTCGTGTATGTGCACGTGTACGTGAACGTGTATGTCTGTATGGCTGTATGTTGCCTGTATTTTTCGCTTTCGTGAGACGCAGCGTGGGAGTTGCACAGAACTGGCTAGTGACCAGAGAAGCTACTAGCCAGTCGCCATCGACTAAGATTTGGTTTTGTGCAGTGTGCGAAATATCTTCTTTTTAGTGAGCACTGTTGTACGGTAGGGTGTACGGCAGGGTGTACGGCGCTGAGCAGCTTTTTTTGGTAAAGGAGGCATTCACGTCATTTGCTGGAAGGGATTTGCGGAATGCGGAATAAGACAATAAATTTCTAGTGTATGCTCGTTTTTGCGTTCGTGTTTGCCTTACGTGCCTTTGACCCGTTGTCTGTTCGTTTTTTTGCTTGGATCTTCTTATATACAGCAATGTTCTTTGTTTTCTTTGCTTTCTTTGTTTTTTTTTGCTTTTTTTGTCACAAAGTCCTGTTTTTCATTTGTGTATTGCGAATATGCACGCCATGCACTCAAGCATGACTGAATAAATTTGCAACGGAATTCTTCACGCACTTCGACACGCTGGGAGTTGTGTGTGTGTGTGTGTGCGTTTTGGAAGCTGCAAGAAAAATATAATATATGTTTCCGTGAAGACGCTACGACGAGCTTGGTTGTCCGACTGCAGGTCGGAAAGGGAAACGTGTCGCAAGCAGACACTTAATTTGTCGACTTTCGAGCTCTGTGCCCTCCTCTTGAGCCTTCCTTAGTGTGTCGTGGCCATATGTGACACGACATGTTTTACATGTACGACATGGGGACAGAGAGGGGGCCCGTTACTCCGTTGGGCAGTTACTCATGTTCGTTTTGTCCCCGAATTTCTTTTCGAATTTCGGTTTGCATGTTCGTGCATGTTTTAATGGAGCGTACAAAGGTTGGGTCGATTGAGTGCCGTACTTTATGAATCCATCACACGAAGATCAATTATACACCATTTCACAGGTTTGGAATTTCCAGCAGCAGCGGGCTTTGTAAAGATTTGCGGTGCCTTCGCTTTTTAAGCGAGCCTGGCGGTCACTGTGACGGCATGGGACTGACTCGCTGGGTTAGTGCGGGCTGAGGGATGTTATGGAAAATACACTGTTAATCGACCGTTAGTCGACCGTTGTTAGTTTTGGGGCTTAGGAGGTACGGATCCCCGAAACCCCTGCTTGGGGCATATCTTGGAGAGGACTCGGAAATAGAGCAACTTAGGGCTCTGTCTTCCTCTGCAGGTTATTGTAGTTATACGTTATAAGTGCACAGTTGTGAGCAATTTCTGAATACTGGACTAATTCGACCGGGTCAGCGTCCCTTGTGCAGCAAGCAAGGAGCTAAGATATTACCGTAGTCCGGCACCTTCCGACCGTCCCGACTCTATAACCCAGCGCACAAGGATTGATACGCGTATTTAGGAGGACTAGGGCTGGGCGATTGGTTCCTCGCAGCTCCTACAGCGCTGCCGAGCTTAAAGCCCATTTTGAACTGCTACAGCTCCTGCGTGCACTGCGACTCGTCTTTTATTTACTTTTGTTAGCATTCAGTTGTTAGGAAAGTGCTCTGGCTGAGGAGGCATACTCTGGTAACAGTGAACAGTGAGAGGCGCGCAAGGACTTCCCCATGGAAGTTTCCAGAAGATAATTTTACGTGACATGATATAACGTTGGGTTGAGGGGACCGTAAGCCCCTTGAATACTATCGCTAATACGGGTGGAGTTCCATACCCCTCAGCCCTGTAAACAACATTTCCTCGTGCACCCACTCATGAGCTTGCGTGCAGAGAAGCCTTTGGTGAAGCCTCTTTGCTAAACATACTTATATGCTTGATAGGCAGCCATAGGCCCAAAGGATGGATTTCTATCTGTTAGATTTCCGCTATGCGCACTAAGGGCGTTTCTCATTGGCTTTGGGATTGTGTCAGCTCCAATAAAAACTATATATGAGGTTAAAAGGCTGTTTTGCGTATAATGTCCAAATAAGGATTGTCCAACCTGTTGAAGATTTTAGCCACTTCGCAAGCATGGAGGATAATAAGGAGACATTTGCTCCGAGCTTTAAGCTTTCTCCGAAGAGCGCAAGCACCTTCGTTAACGTACGACGCCTGCTGTTTTTCCGTAGGGCAATTTGCCCAAGGCATCGACAAAATGTGCTTATAATCTATGATATCGTTTCTCGTACCTGTAATTGTGCTTTAACCTCGATAATGCATTAGAGTGGTGTAGGCCTTCGAACTGCTCAGATGTGATTCGTGCAAGCATGGAAAAATGAATAAACAAATTATATTGTTTTCTTTATCTACATAATACTTTATTTTTCATTCGACTGGAGGCTAGGGGTTAGGCTTCTTACGCTTTGCGTGTGCTCAAAGCTCTTGCCATAGGGCACAGGAGCAAAGATGGATGAGGAGAAAAACAGGTTCGATAGAGCGCGGCGGCTTCTGTCGCGCGTTATGGCACGGCTGGTCCAGCAGGCATTTCTCCGATGGAAGGTAGGTGGGGTGGTTGGCTCTGGTAACTCGCACGCGCTTTACGACTTTCGACCGGATGCCCATGTACATTCGAACTAATCAATCTGCGCCCGCGCTGCGCTACGCTACCACGTCTGCTGAGAGAGGCCACAAACACAACAAACGGCCAGCTCCCCCTTCTCCGCCATCTCCCGATCCTAGCCGCAGCACCTCTCCCCCCGCCCGCCTTTCCAATCCCCCGCTTGGAAGCCTGCTCCCCTCCCCCCGCGCCCGCCCTCACTCGCCCACCTGTCCGCCAGCCGGCCCCATTACACGCCCTCCACTATGCCGCTGTCCCCCTAAACATCGTTCCCAGATGTACAGCCGCTTCGAGCGGACCGTCAAGCAGCTGGCGGCCGTAGTGGACCCCGTGGCGGTGAGGGCGCTCGCCGTACATGTACACCACATGCACGCCACATACACACCACATGCACACCCCTTTCTCGACCCCCATGAGGGCCATGTTCCACCACAGCCCGGGCCCTCACATGCCCCGGGTGTTTCTTTCCCGTCAGGGTGGCTGCGGATGGGGGGAGTGCTGTGCTTGTGTCTGCGTGTGTCTGTGTGTGTGTGTCTGTGTCTGTGTGTCTGTGTGTGTCTCTGTGTGTGTCTGTGTGTGTGTCTGTGTGTGTCTGTCTGTGTGTGTATCTGTGTGTATGTGTGTGTCTCTGTGTGTGTCTCTGTGTGTGTCTCTGTGTGTGTCTCTGTGTGTCTCTGTATCTGTGGCTTTCCCTCTTACTCACCCCCCATCCGCTCTCCCCCCTCTCCTCCACCCGCCTCACATTCTGTGCTCAGGGTTTGGTCAACCCTAGGGGTCGTAAGCCCCTTTCCTTCTCCTTTATTTTGTTTTCAATTTCAACTTACACACCGCATCTCTCTCTTCTCCTGTCCTTTTCTCCGACCTCACCTCCAACCAACCTCCATGCAACCGCTTCAACCGCTCAGGACGTGCTTGAGAAGCTGCCTGAAAACCGCACACCCACGGACGTGCAAAGGCTGATGCCGCTGGTGTCGCAGGCAAGTAGGAAAGATGGGGAGCGCGACTGTTTGCGTGCATTGTGTGTGTGTGTGTGAGACTATGGTCATCGTACTTGGCTGGTCTTTGCTGGCGTGTATGCTGCCGTATTTACTCTCCTCTCACTTCCTCTCCTCCAGCCGCCCACGCAACCTTCCACTTCCCCACCACGCCGGGGCCGTATTTCCGCACCGTAAACACCATGGCTCCGTACTTGCCGTACCAGGCCCGTGTCCTTCCCTGAACCCACCACACAGCGCCTCCAAACCCCAAAAACATATTGCTTTTCTAACGTGGTGTAACAGAACGTAGTGGGGAGCGTTAGAGAACTAAAACTTTCTGTGTGAATTCGGAGTGAAAAAAATGCACGGCCTGGTAGGGTGCCTGTTGTTGTTTCGTTGTGATGCGCGACGGTGCTGTTCTGGTTACTTCGGTTTTGTGCAGAGCTCCGTCAGGGCAGGGTGCTGCCCTGAAGTGGTTTGGGGTTTGTAGGCCTTGGTTTGTCGCTTCGAGGTGGTGTGCCCGCACCCGGCCCCGCCCTTTCATGAAGCCCATATCTTTCATTGCTTGCAGGTCTTTTCAGTTTGTAATGGAGACTTTTTATGAAAACCCCCGTCTCTCCCAACCACCAACCACCCGCATGTCATTTCCCCACCCCACCCCCCACCCCACCCACCCCAACTCCGGACCCCCAAACCCGTTATATTTTAGATTGACGCCTACCGGCAGCTCCACCTGCCTGTACGGGAGCTGCTCGCTTCCTACCTACAACTTGCCGTACTAACCGACCGTACGGAGCTGCCGCGCGGTCCCGCCGACCACACGTGCCTGTTCAGCGTGGTGTACGGCAGTATGACAGCGCTTATGGGGGACCCCGCCGACCCCGCATTGGTCAGCATTCGCACGTTTGCGGGTGAGGGGATGAGAGTGTGAGCGTGTGCGTGTGTGTGTTTGCGTGTGTATGTTACATATCGATCCGGGCCTGACACTGGCCAGGGGCAGCTAACCGTGTACCCCATCGGGAACTAGACTTATAGATCTTCTGACTGGTGAGAGATCCCCCTCCAGCCGCCCAGCGCACTGGAGGAAAACGCACTGTGTCACCTCATCATTCACCACCCCGATCTATTTCACCCGGGGGCGGGGGACCAGCGGTGGGATCCGAACCCACATCGTCCGATATAGCTAGATACTAATTCCGGGATTTGAACTCTAGACTTGCCATCGTAGTCGATTACCTGCCCCGGTGCCGATTACTATTGTCGTTTACCTAGACCGTGTGTGTATGCGGTCCTCGTGTCAGGGCGGCAGGGTTTCGTCGTACTAAAAAGGAGGGGAAGGGGCGGCGCTCAGAGGGGCAGGGCGCCGGCAGGGGTGGACAGAGAGCACACTGAATGCCGCTTTCACACATACCATGCAATCTCCACATCTTATGCACACATACACACATACACACATACACAAATACACACACATTCCCCACACACACATTCCCCACCAACCCCCCGGCCCCACACGACACGGCACGTACACGACACGCGCAGCCGAGCAGCTTCGTGGACACCTCAGCCCCGAAACCAGCATCCAACGCGCCCCGGCCGGACAAACCATCAAGTCGGACAGCACGATCAGCCTTGGCGGCGGCGGCGGCGGCGGCGGCAGTGCAGGAGGCAGCGGGGCGGCGTTTCCGGGCTCCGAGCCGCCGCCGTCCCGGCAGTCGCAGTTGCAATCGCAGTCCCGGCGGCTGGGTACGGCAGGCGCGGCAGTGCGTGTGGCGGATGGCGCAGCAGGAGCAGGAGCAGGAGCAGGAGCAGGAGGAGGCGGAGGATCCACAGAGGGGTCGGCGGAGTCGGGACAGCAATCGGACTGGGTAAGGGAAATTGGGGGGGGGGAGGAGGAGGGGGAGAGGGGAAAGAAGGGGTTTGAGGTTGGAGAAGGAGGTGGTGGTGATGTCCTCCTCATCACCCAACGTGTCATCACATCCGTCCTCTTCTTCTTCACAAAACACATTGTGCAGCAGCACCACCACCACCACCACCCCGTCCGCGTTGCCCCCCTTCCTTCCCGGTTCCTGCCCACCCCCCCCTCCCCCCCTGGGTACACCCCGACAGATACATACCCGGCTATGGCGCACCGTCATTGAGATCATTAACAAACTTATAAAGATGCAGAAGGCCCAGGCGGTTCGGGAGTTGGCCGCGCAACACGCGGCGGCGCTGGAGGACATGGCGCTGTCGGCGGCGGGGCGCGCAGCGTCGGCGGCTGGCGGCAAGGCCGCGTCGGCGGTGCTTGCGGCGGCGACCGGGTCCTCCGGCGGCGGCGCCAAGGCAGGCGCGGCGGCCATCGGCATGGGCGTCCTCCCGGGGGCGGCGGCGGAGGCGGGCTACCTGAGGCTGCTGCCCGCGCTGTCGGCGTTACGAACCCAAGTGGTTGTCATTCGAACGGGGCAGTCGTTTACCGGAAGGTGAGTGCAAGGGATAATCCAACCCTAAAACCCTAAAACTCTAAAACCCTAAAACCCCAAAACCCGAAACCCACCTGTCTCTCTCTCCCCTCACCCCCACACGGCACCCTGTCCCCCAACCCACCTTGAAAGTCGAAAAATCGCTACCCATAGCCCATAAGCCTCGTGGGCCCCCCGCGGGCTTTCCAACCCAATGCGACCCCAAAGCTCTCCCCCCCCCCCCAAACCCCCCAATTCCCCATTTAAATTACCCCCCAACTCCCCCCAACCCCGCACATCCGTCAGGGAGTTGCTGCGTCAGGACGAGGGCGGACCCCTTCAGGTGGACGGGGGGGGCCACGGGGACGCGCCGGGGAGGGCGGTGGCGGCTGTCGTACCCAAGGACTCCCTGGTGGCTGTCGTATTTGTCAGCAGGGAGGTGTACCACAGGGCCATGGCGATGCAGGTACGGAAAGTAGTATGGCATGGCGTGAATGGAGATATAGTGCGCGACATGTGATGACACGCGATGCATGTATGTCTGTGTGTGTGTGTGTGTGTGTGTCGCTGAACTCTGTTTTTTGTTTCTGCTGCTGCTCCTGCTGCTGCTGCTGCTGTGGCGGTGGTGATGGTGGCGTTGTCGGTAGAGAGCAGCCGAACCCTTGTATGCCTGTATGTCTGTCTGTATGTTTCCATGCTTCGATCGTCTTGGAAAGCGTTGTCCTCGAGAAAATGCTGCTAATGCTGCTTCTTGTCTTGCTGGCGATTTGGTTTATTCGCAGTCCGAGATTTCCGTACGCCGCGCCGTAGACTGCTGTTGCCGTCTACCATTCCTCCGCCACACGCCCCTCAAGGAGCTGTACCGCCTGTCCAGACACCTGCAAGAGGTCACCTTCCAGCCGGGGGAGGTGGTGCTGCACCAGGTAAGGAGGAGGGTGGGGAGGGGTAAGAGTGAGGGGGAGGTAGGGTGTATGTATGTATGTATGTATGTATGTATGTATGTATGTATGTATGTATGTATGTATGTATGTATGACTTAGATTACACTGTGGGCCGCGAGAGCCGGGGGCCGAAGCCGAAACACAGCGCAAGGGTCGGGAGCACACAGCACAAGTCGGTTAGTCTTGTGTGCTCCCGACCCCGACTCAGACTGCCAACACTCTACGCAGCCACTCCGCAGCCCCTCTATCCGGGGATGGCGCTGCATTGAATACACCACGAAGGGCTCTCAGGTCCCGCTAGAGCGAGTCCACAAGTCTCAGCTAGGGCAAAGTCAAAGGCTCTCTGAAACAACCCCCCAAAACACCACCAACGAAAACGGGATTCGAAGGGAAAACAAACAAACAAACAAAAATTCGGTTAGGGCAGTCCCGGCAGGGGAGGGCTCCTGATATACCTAACAGGCCAACAAAAAAACCTCCAAGAGAGAAAGGCTAAGAGAGCTCGACACCACAAGACGTCTTGCAACCACCTTAAAACAACTGACCTCCACCACCTGTCCCTTCCTGGGCTGGTCCAGGGGAGAAGTAGCCTTATAAAGAAAAGGGATCCCGCACAAGCCTGATCACCACTGCAGGGGCCCGGGATAGTCCGGCGAAACGACCAAAGCGTTAGCGTTGCCACGACACACAGCTCCTAGACCCTCCAGAAAACCGCAGGGGGAGGATTGTAGCCCGCGCGGCGCCTCCCCCTTACCGCCACTAACCTGAACGGTTGGTCCTCCAGAAACCTATTCACCCTGTCTCGTACTGCACCGCTCTCACCTTCGTCCCTCACCAAGCAACCCAGTCCCACAGAGAAGACGTGTCTAAATAGAATGGCCCTCCTCGGGCCACACCTCCCCCTCATCCGAGCCCCGCTACCACCACCAGACCTCAACCTCCGACCGACCTCAACCTCCCAAACACCAGAAAACCTACGTCCTTTTGGCGCTCTCACCGCCATCTCCCCCCTCCCCTGTCCGAGCGACCCCACCTCCCCCCGGCTCTCCAGCACCCTACAACCTCGGAGTGGCACTAGGGAAGAAAAAGGGTTCTTCCCTGCACGACGTGACCGCCTCCATTCCCCGTCCTTCTCCTCTCCCTCTCCCGTCTCGGGGTTCCCTCTCACCTATTCCCTTGTCCTCCAACCCCCATCCCCCTCGAACTCCTATAGGCCCCCGAGCCCTGCCCTACAAACTAAGCTCAAAGCGCTCTTAGGCAATAATTCCCACCGCTTCGGCGCACCGCAGTGCGCCTTCTGAAACCGACAGGATCGGGTGGTCGGGTCCCACCCTGTCCCAGCCTCTCCGCGGGGTGCCCAGCGCCGTGAAGGAGCGCAGACGCGCCCAGAAGTCCACCACTGCCCGGGCGCAGGCCCGCTCCAAGGGGGTTGCTGCGGGTGCTGCTGCCGCCGCGCCTGCCGTTGCTGCTACCGCCCCTGTCGCCGTGTTCCGCTCCTGCGTTTCGTCCTCATCCCCCGGCGCATTCAGTGCAGGCCCCGTCTGCGGTCCCGCCCCGTCGGCCTGGATAAAAAAGTCCGTTATGTATGTATGTATGTATGTATGTATGTATGTATGTATGTATGTATGTATGTATGTATGTATGTATGTATGTATGTATGTAT